TATAAAGAAACTGATAAACAACATTTGTCTATACCCTAGAGCACAGAAGGAACTGGAAGCTTGGAATAACAATATTGGGCAATTTTAGGAAAACAAAACATATATGTCAAGACCCTGTGTTTTAATCTGAGTCATAGTCAGCAACTGTAATTTTTAGAACAGCTAATGCCATAGACATATTTCAAGCCATTTATGCTTAATATTGCAACTTTAGATTTGTAAACCTGAAGCTTAATAATGTTATTTGGGGAAGGGAGACCTAAACATGTTCAGACATAAGACTTCCAGAGCTCACTACTGCAGGAAAGCTTATATAGGATATGGGGTATATTGTTAAGGGCTAGATGGATAACTCAGTGGTTTAGGTATCTGGCTGTGGAACTGGAGGTCAGAAGTTTGATTCCCCACTGCGCCTCCAGAGAGTAGAACCACCCTGCATAGTCATGGGCAAGCTGCACAGCCAGAGGATGCCCCCTGAATAAGGCAATGCTAAACTACTTCTGTGTATTCTCTACCTAGAAAATCCTGGAAAGGGTTGCCATAGGCCTGAATTGACTTAACAGCACAAATTATATTACTATATTATTAGGGGGACTTTCCTGCCAGCCTTTTTCAAATCATAGTTATGGAACTATGTTATTGCTCTGTTTGTAAACATCATCAAGATCAAAATGGCACCATAATCCATGAGATGCAGGAGGTAGATGACCCCACTATGGCTGCAATGATTAGCACCTTACAGCCCCACTCTGCTCCAATAAGTGTCTTGGTTGTCAAAGAGGACTGCTTATTATGGAAGGGAAGTACATGAAATAAAAAGGAGAATGGAAGATTCAAGAGACCAGTGGTTCCCAACCTTGGTTCCCCAGATGTTCTTGGACTACTACAATTCCCAGAAATCCTGGCCAGCATAACTAGAAGCGAAGGCTTCTAGGAGTTTTAGTCCAAGAACATCTGGGGAACCCAGATAGAGAAACATTGCAATAAACTACCCTGCAAATTATCTATTATCTCTTCCAGAGTTTTAAAAGCTAGCATCTTTTTGGAATTTAGAGGAATGGAAATCCATTTTTGTTAACCAACTTTTAAATCCACTAATTTCTAGAATGGTAAAGGTTCCCCTTGACATTTAGTCCAGTCATGTCCAACTCTAGGGCGTGGTCCTCATCCCTGTTTCCAAGCCACAGAGCCAGTGTTTGTCTGAAGACAGTTTCCATAGTCATGTGGCCAGCGCAACTAGACACGGAATGCCATTACCTTCCCACCGAGGTGGAACTTATTTATATACTCGTATTTTTACATGCTTTCGAACTGCTAGGTTGGCAGGAGCTGGAACAAGCGACGGGAGCTCACTCCGTCATGTGGATTCAATCTTACAACGGCTGGTCTTCTGACCTTGCAGCACAGAGACTTCTGCGGTTTAACCCACAGCGCCACCACATCCCCTGCTTTCTAGATACTGTACATAAAAATGACCATGAAATTCTGTATGAACAACAAACACTGATACATGACTAAAGTGTGAGAGATCTGAAGAATGCAGATCTGAAGGTTCAACAGTTCAGGCACAACTTACTTTCTCAGTTGTTGATGTTGTTTGCCATCAAGTCAGAATCAACTTACAGCGACCCTAATAGGGCTTTCAAGGTAAATAAGATTATTAAGGAGTGATCTTACCAGTTCCACAGCCCCAGTGACCTTCCTGGCTGAGTGGCGATTCAAACCCTGGCCTTCTGAGTCCTTATCTGTCACTCTATCAACTAAGTATCCTCTAAGGTACAGAAAAACTACTTTATTTTTCGCTCCATAAGATGCACTCCCCCCCAAAAAAAAGTGGGGTGAAAAGTGTGTACATCTTATGGAGCAAATACTGGCTTCCCACTGCCAACATCGCCACCATGCCGCCCTTCTTCTCCCCTTCCAGGGCAGGGAGCACTTCCGGATGATGAGCTGGCTGGGGCGGAGTTTTTTTCAAAATTAGGTGAGTCTTATCATCAGATGCGTGTTATAGAACGAAAAATGGTACTCTACTAATCTGAAAAAAAACTGGTTTCCTGGGGGGGGGGTCTGCAGTGCAATGTAACTGCAAGCCATGTTGTTGTTGATTAATTGAGTATTGTTTGCCTACACAATACATAGATGCTACAGCAGTTTGTCAAACAGCTGTGTCAATATTTTGAAGTGGCAACTTAAATGAAACTTCAATTGGAATAAGCAAAACTTTCGACATGTTATTGGAAAAGAGGAAGGTTTCAAAGAAGACAAAAACACACCTTGGTACTAGCAGTTAAACAAGATTAATGATCACAACTATGAGCTTCTATTACAGTCACAATTTTGCTGCAAGATAGAATAATTAATATGCTCATGCCAAATGTAAATGCCCAAAGCAAATTAAACACGAGCCCATTAATTATTGCACACAGAGCCATCCTTTCTGAATAATGATTACAGGCTTTCTTTAGTTTGAGGTAAGATGTCATATGTTTTTCACCCGACACCTGTTATTTAGTCAGCTCTCTGGGGTTAATTCCATCAGAGTTTTTAATTGCTTCATCTAACAATGTTCTCTACTGACCTTACATTAACTCTCATCACTCTTTTTCCCTCCCTCGGTCAATATAAGCTAAGCATGAAATAAAGACAAAGACACAAATGATAGTATATCATATTATTGCTAAGGCTGAAGGAAAGAAAACATTGAGAGTTTACTAAGAAGCTTACTTCAGGTATCTTTCGGAATAGTTTGTTCAAAGAAGAAAGGATGGGTAGACCCATTTACGTTACAGAGATGGTCACAAGATTCAAGGTGAGTTACTTTATAACGTGAAAGATATAGCACAGCTTTGCTTGCTACAATCTGAGAGCCAAACCTTAAACTACTAAACAGTGTTAGAAAAATTACTTAGAATCTTCTGATGCCAGTTCAACAAACATAAGCTGTCAAAAATCAACCACAGAAAAACTACTCTTCTTATGTGCTGTCATGTCAATTTTGATGTATGGCAACCCTAACAGTGTTTTCAAGGTACATGAGATGTTCAAAAAAGTGGACTGAGCGGGAAACTCTCTGGAGGTAGGGTGGCAGACATGAGCCTCCCAAGTCCTAGGCCGACAGTCTATATCCCTTTATCATCTGAAATCTCAGGGTGCCCTGCATCAAATCAGCAAGTTAACAATGTAAAGATATTGCCTTACATCAAGTCAGACTGCCTAGCTCATTACTGTGTACAACAACTGGCAGCAGGTTTTAAACATTTCAGATAGGTGGTTATTCCAAGCCTACCTGTACATGCCAAGGAGTGTATGTATGGCACCTACATGCTAAGTAATGTGCTCTCTCATTGATCTATAGCCTTTCTCTTAAGCGGCTTCCTCAGTATTCCAGAAATATACCCCTGGAAACTAGCACTATATTGGGACCCACCCTTTAAAATCACCAAATTCATTTTAATCAAATAAAATGTTGCTTAAAGGAGCCAGAAGAACTGAAAACAGCTTACATTCCAGATGTGAATCCCTGAATCTATGCAACATGTCATTTAAAAGTTGGGCAAAATCAATACTTTCCTGTTCAGTGACACAGTAAAATAAGCAATCAATCATTCATCATGCATAGGGCTACTAAAAGATGCTACATATTAAGAGACTGTACTATTCTTTTCCAGAAATAATGCCTGCCTAGTCTGGTACAATTTTGTTCCCTTTTATTAGAATGTCAATAGCTTCATTTCATTGGCTGATGGTTTCTTAAGACCCAGTTTCACCAGAGACCCAAACAAAATGGATGTCTCCTGTCTGGAGCAATTTTTCCTCTATTATTTCCTCTCAGCAGACCTGCTTTCAGCCACCTGCCTTTCAAAAGAAACTATATATCACCTTCAATGTCAAGGGAGTTTAAGTAGGAGAGGGGGGAAAATCAACATCAATGCAGGTTTTAAGAACTGCGAGCGCTGGTATATTACAACATAACAAACCATGAGTGATTTCTGTGACTATAACTTTGGGAAGCTGTTTAATGAAATACACATTGTCTGAGCTTCAAACTATGATGTTTATCGGTGAGTAAGACCTAGTGAATTCAGACTGAAGCTACTGCCTCCCTAGCACCCCCATTTCAACTATCCATTCTGTCCTATCCACATTTAATTTTGAGAGCTCTGCCTAATTAAGGTCTCTAGAGCTGCCTGGGAGAAACGTCTTCAGCGTTACTTCTGAGCCTTACTGATTCCTCTTTTTGCATAGGATTGTTGGGCAGGATACATCTTCTGACTTGCTCACTCCCTCTGTGGCGATCACCAGCGTGATGTTGTTTTCCTAAGAAGAGCTCTTAGACTACAATCCTCTGCCCACTTACCTACAAGCCGGTGAACTCAACACGACTTACATCGGAATAAACATACACGGGTTGGCGGTGTTCAGAGCGCACTTGAACGACCTCCTATAACTACAGTACCGCAGCCAGTTAACGGGGCCACGTACTACTGTTTAGGGAGTTCAGTTCGCTTAAAGCGCGGCAGAGTCCGGCCAGCGTTAACTAACAGAGGGAAGCGCTACCTGTTGCAGTTTTTAAAAAAAGAAAAAAAAGAAGGAATAAGAAAAAGCTCTGCAACATCCGATCTAGCTGGACAGGCAGCAATCGTAAACATGGCCTGAGGCATTTTTCTCAAGGGTCACCTTCCTCAGCTGCATCGCGTGCGTGTGACCCAGAACATTACGGGGCGGCAGCCTGGAAAGACTTCGGGACCGACTGAAAGAGGCGGGGAAGGGATCGGGCGCAGCCCCCAACAGAAGTTAATGGGGAGCCCTGCTGGATTTCTCCCCGACGCCGGGGGCTCGGGCTACCAGGTGCCAGTTGCGTTGCCCTGATCGCTCTGAAGGCGGAAAGTGGGAGGGGAAAGCTCTCTCTCGGCAGAAAGGGCAAAGCCGGACCGAGCCCAGAAGCAAAACAAAGGAGGGCGGAGAGGGAAGTCGGCGTCCTGCGGCCGAGCGCGCCTCACCTTCTGCTGCCTCCGGGCCATGTCCGTCGGCTGCTTGGCGTTGAACGGGTAGGCGATGCACCTCACGATGAAGACGTACAGCTGCAGTCGGAGCCGCCGCTCCTTCTCCTCCTTCTGCAGCCGCTCCTGCTCTTCCCTGCCTTCACTGCGCACCGAAGGGCTGGGGCTGACCGGTCTGGCTGCCGCCGCCGCCGCCGCCGCCGCGCTCCCTCCTGGCCGCCCAGGCTCTCGGGGAGCGGCCGGGAAGGAGCGCTGAGAGCTGTTGCTGCCGCTGCCGGGCGCCGTCGTCGGCCCATCCCGCCTCTCTTCCTCCAGCACCTCCTCGGACTCTTCCTCGCTGGAGGACGGGTCAAGCATGGCTCGCGAGGGGGCGGGACCCAGGCGGAGGTGGCTGCCGGTGGGGTAGCCAAGCCGCGCGCCCCTTTCCGGACACGTCGAGCTTCTGCCCGCGACTATTTCCTACCACCGAGTCGGCAGCGGCGACGGCCGCAGGAGCAGCAGCAACCGCCGCCGAAAGCAGGAAGGCGGGGTTTCAGGAAGAGGGGGTCGAGCTTGGGCTGGCTGGCCTGGGCCCGCTCCTATCAGAGAGCCCGGGCTGGCTGCCCTGTCCCTTCTTTCCCCTCAGCGGCCGGCGAGGGAAGCGCGGCTCCGCCTCGGAAGGAGCCGTGCAGCGCGCCTCACAGGTGGGAAACCTGTGGCGCCCACAACAAGCAACACGTGGAACGGAATGCTAATGACGCGCCGTCTCCGCCGGCGGCCGGGCGAGCCCGCGTCCTGCCTCTGCAGAAAGAAGAAAGCCCGCGTGTTTTCTCGGCCGCTCGTGTCTGGCGGTCAGTGCTACCAGCCTCCCTTCAGTTTCCAAGACACACGCACACCCAAATCCAGTGCACCCTTCTCTGTCTCCGCGAGCCCCCCACCACCACACACACACAAAAAGTCCCTCACCCTGAACACGAGATTAATGTACTCTCTAGAGCTCTTTTCCCCTCAGTGTCAGGGATCCCGGTCTGGCTGTGGTTGGTTTTTTAAAGGGGATTCAAGGAGGTCCAAAGTTAAATTCAAAAGGAATCCCAAAGGGAGTGGAAAATCACGGTTGGCAAATGTTACAGCAGAGCTGAACGCTCATTGTGAAAGCACGCTTGGCTTCTGCACTTCACTCGCTACAAATTTCTGTGCTCATTTCAGTTCCTTCTGGGATGGATGCTGGGAAACCACTCTAACGGAGGCCAGTGGTTCCCCATTTTAGGGAATCTTATTTTAAAATAATCCAGGTGCTCCTGGACTACAATTCCCAGAAGCCTTCACCACCAGCTGTGCTGGCCAGGGTTTCTGGGAGCTGCAGTCCAAGGACACCTGGGTTGCCCAAAGTTGGCAACCACAGGCCTAGAAGGTTAGAGCGGTTTCCCAGCCCTGAACATGAAGGCATGCTTTGCACCTGCACCCTCTCACAGCTCTTTTGTAGCAAAAACAAAAGACTAATACCACATTCATCCCAGAAAACTCAAATATAAACATAGGCTGCTTTTTGCTATTTCCCCTTTCACCACATACAATAGGAGCAGCTCAATTCAGCAATTCAGGGGGAAGGTGCTGCCTCAGTCACACAAGCTATCTGTGTGTGGCATACTGTACGCAAACGTAAGAAATATAAATACAGTACACAAACACACTCTTTCCAGAAAGAGTTGACAGAATGAGTCACAGGCCTTAGAGACAACAGCCAAGCATGACAAAAAAGAAAGAGAGAGAGACTCAGAGGCGGGGTTGGCCCAATTCATTTTGCTTAATCAGAGGTGCAGCCTACTAGGTACGGAGGGAGAAGAAAATGAGCTATCCAGCTAGGTTATTTACTGTTTAGAGCCCAGTATGTCAGCTATTGGGGGTGGGGCGGTTTTACCCTAGTGGCCAATTGCACACCTTCACAGTAGCATAGAGGAAAGCAGAAAGCACAGGTAAGGGTCAGATTTAGGGATAGCTACTAATGCAGGTTTCTACTGACTGCTCTCTCTCTCTCTCTCTCCCTATTTTAATGAGTCTAATGGTTTTCATTTCAGTAAAATATTTAGTGCAGGTCAAGGCCCCTTCACTAACTACCAAAAGAAGAAGAAGAAAAGAGAGAAAATTCAATATGTGGATCCTTGGCAGATATTGAAACATATGATTTCCATGTTGTTTCACATACAGTGGTGCCCCGCTTGACGACGATAATCCATTCCAGCAAAATCGCTGTAGAACGAAATCGTCGTCAAGCGAAAGTAAAAAGCCCATTGAAATGCATTAAAAACTGGTTAATACGTTCCAATGGGTGAAATACCTCACCGTCCAGTGAAGATCCTCCATAGGGCAGCCAGTTTCCGGTGCCTGTAATGCAAGCAATCTGTCCTGAACACAGCGGGGAGCCATTTTGCACAGCAGGCAGCCATTTTAAAAACCCGTCAATCAGCTGTTTTTTATCGTAAAGTGAAAAATCAGTTCCTGAAGCAGGGAACCGATTGTCATCAAATGAAAAAAAACCTTGAAACATCGTTCAAATCGTACACCGGATTTGTCATACAACGAGGTAATCGTCAAGCAGGGCACCACTGTACTTCTAGGATATTCCAGAGACTGTAGATGTCAATATTATTTTATCATCTTTTTGTTTGGTTTTTATTTATTTTGGGATATTCAAAGAACATGAGACTAAAACAACTGGAAAAATCGGCAGTAACTAAACATGCCCTGAAACAAGCTGGACATGAAATTCTATTTCAAAATACAGAAGTACTGGACAACACCAGCAATCATTATGTGAGACTGCACAGGGAAGCCATTGAAATCCACAAACACCAGCAGAGCTTCAACAAAAAAGGAGAAAGTCTAAAACTCAACAAAGCCTGGCTCCAGCACTGAAAAATACAGCCTGCAAAAGGTCAACAAACTCTACCCAGCCACAAGGACCAATGATCACTGCACACAAAAGATCATCTAACGACACCCATCAATCACAGTAACAGATCATCTCTCCCCCTTATCACAACAATACACCCACAACAAAAAACACACTGATAACCATAATCATGCAACCTCCTGAAAACGACAAAAAGCTGATCCCACAGCTATAAATACTCAACTATCCCACAAACTGCACCAGAGCATAGACAGAGTTCTGACTCCTCTCCTCTGAAAATGCAGGCCACAGAGACTGGAAAAACATTAGGAAGAAAAATCTTAAGAACATGGCCAAACAGCCCTTAAGAACATGGCCAAAAACCTACAAGTGCAATCTCCTGAAAACGACAAAAAGCTGATCCCACAGCTATAAATACTCAACTATCCCACAAACTGCACCAGAGCATAGACAGAGTTCTGACTCCTCTCCTCTGAAAATGCAGGCCACAGAGACTGGAAAAACATTAGGAAGAAAAATCTTAAGAACATGGCCAAACAGCCCTTAAGAACATGGCCAAAAACCTACAACAACCATCGGATCCCAGCCATGAATGCCTTCAAGAATACAGTACAAAGAAAATAAAATCAGTTAAAACTACATTGGCATGCTAGAAGGCCTCGAAGGAAAGAGGAAATGGTTCACTCTTCACCTGGCATTAGAGATGGACACAGACCTTGATTCAGAGGTTGATGCCATGTGTTCCCCTCTTCCACCTCCCTAGCTGGACCCCCACTTAACAGCTGGAGTGTGCTCCTCCTCCTCTTTGACTTTTCGATCTGTCTTTGACAGGAGCATGGGTTTCCCTGCTCTACCTCAGACAGGGAGGCAGGACAGGCAACCCCATGCTCCTACTGGGGAATGGTAAAACACCCAAAGAGGAGGAAGAGAGGAGCATACACCAGCTGGTCTGACAAATTCACATAAACCTTTGGCAGGCTGAGCCAGAAGAAAGTGGTCTTTAAACAGAGCTTGGAAAATCTGTTTGTTTTTTACTTTAACTCTCAGAATTGTAGGGACACAAATCCTAGCTTGTCTGATGCTCATGCACAAGAACAAGAAATGACACATTTTTTCTCCTTCCAGTAAAATGATGAGATTTTTTTCCCTAGACCATCAATAAGAGTCCTTGCTTTTGTGAGAGTTACTATCTGTAAATTGGACAAAACTGTTACAGCTGTTGTTTCATTGCATGTTGCATGAATTTCTATAAATCAGAAGCATCAATTGTGGTTTGCATTTTTTCCTATCAATTAGCCAGTTCTTGTGTGCCCTGTGTATGTACAGATGCAATATTCACTTCACAAGAGCAAAAGATGCTCATTGTGCACAGGGAAACGTAAAAAATTGCAGGATTTTCAGCTGGAGAAAAAACTGTATTCGCGAAGGCTTTCACGGCCGGGATCTAATGGTTGTTGTGGGTTTTTCGGGCTTCTTGGCCGTGTTCTGAAAGTGGTTCTTCCTAACGTTTCGCCAGTCTCTGTGGCTGGCATCTTCAGAGGACAGCAACTGTGCTCTGGGTAGGCTTGAGAGAAAAAACTCTTTGCTATGTTCTTGGGCTATGGATAAAAAAATAAGTATCTCAGAGGGATCCATGAATTTTTAACAGACAGCCTTGTCTTGCCAAGAATGACTAATTTTGCAAGAATTTTTAACATCTATTCAGTATCCTCAACCCATAACACATGGAAGCTGTGGGATTCTGAGCATTGTGGTCTCAAACAGTAACCTTTCCATGCTCTGATTAGGATATGCAGGAGCTTCTTCCCCATTTAAGTCTTTGAAAGGTATCCCTACAACATTGCATTATGCCAGGAAAAAGATTTGGAAGCCAGTTCTTAAAGTCTTGGCTTTTTATTTCTGCCAATTGTGCTGAACACTGAAGTTTCTTCCAGATTATCTAGGTGTCATTGTTCGTGTCCTATAACTAAGCAACTCCTGTTTCTCCCAAAATTCACTAAAACTTAAGTTACATAGGCAGAAAATCTGTATTTATTTAAATGTGATTTCATATTTCTGGTACATTTCAAAAACTGATAACCTGAACTTTTTGGCTCAGATAAAATGGACATATAATGTTATAAAAAGTTAAAAGAAGTGCCCCCTGTTATTTTAACCTGCTTGTACATTAAGCTCACCCTTTATTTTTTATTTATTTTTGCAAAAAGAGAAGTTCTTCTCTGTGATCATAGTAGGGTTTCGGAATGCCCTTCCAGGGGTGGTATGCATGGCACTATCATTCTTTCTTTTCTTTCTTTCTTTCTTTCTTTCTTTCTTTCTTTCTTTCTTTCTTTCTTTCTTTCTTTCTTTCTTGCTTGCTTGCTTGCTTGCTTGCTTGCTTGCTTGCTTGCTTGCTTGCTTGCTTGCTTGCTTGCTTGCTTGCTTGCTTGCTTGCTTGCTTGCTTGCTTGCTTGCTTGCTTGCTTGCTTGCTTGCTTGCTTGCTTGCTTGCTTGCTTGCTTGCTCTCTCTCTCTTTCTCTTTTCTTTCTTTCTTTCTTTCTTTCTTTCTTTCTTTCTTTCTTTCTTTCTTTCTTTCTTTCTTTCTTTCTTTCTTAAATTGGGTGAAAAACCTCTGTAGCTGTACAAGTCTTCAAAATTACAGAGAAAATCTGGCTGGAACAGCTTTTTATTTCTTGGTTTTATGATTTCGTTTTTGGAATTTAGGTTGTTTTATTGTATTCAT